CTTGTACTATTACTCTTTCTTTGTTACTCTATTGCTATTGCTCTATTGCTCTATTGCTTTGTTACTTTATTACTCTATTAGTCTTTTCGTCTTTTAGTCTGTTTAGTTTGTTTAGTCTATTAGTCTATTAGTCTATTAGTCTATTAGTCTACTAGTCTATTCGTCTATTCGTCTATTAGTCTATTAGTCTATTTGTCTATTAGTCTACTAGTTTATTCTGTCTATTCGTCTATTAGTCTATGGCTGTATTACTCTATTACTCTTTACTATTACCAGTACTAGTACTATCTATAACAAACACGCGAAAAAAGCCACAGGTGCAAAAAAATAATGGCGACAAAAATAGGCCCTCCCTTGTCCATGCATCATTGCCACTCATTGCTCCTGAGGCCCCCAACAAAGGTAGGTCAATGGGGGGGGGGTAGCATATATATGTATACATATGCACCTACATATATACACATATTCATTAGAGTGTCTTCGGTGCTGTCGGCTTCGGAGCTCCTTGCCGTTTACGTCCGGGAGACTTGCATGTTCCTGGATGCTGAAGATCCAGGCAAATCCTCACAGAGGCAGACCGGGATCGGGGAATTTTCGAATTCGCTTACTGCGATGTACATGCATTGGCTGTCCTGAGTTATGTTCCAGACACGCGACCTCTTCGCATGATTTTGCTCAACCTCTGTCAAGCCAAGCCGTCTTCGGAATGTTGGCTCGGCCGCTGTTGCGACCTCTTTACGTATCCCCAAGCCCCCACACACACACACACACAAGACAGTCTGCAGTCTTTCGTCTCCACAACTTCTCGAGTTCGCTCGCTGAGGTGCCCTATGTGGCGCCTTTTCTCCGCCACAGTAGCGAGGATTGGCATTTGTTTTTTTAGGGGCAAGGTTAAGCGCTTGCATGATTTAAGGGTTCTCGCGGCCTCGGGTTCGTGCCATAGCCAATCTTGCAGCTTCGAACTACGCACGTGCAGCTCGAAAAGGGGGGATGGTTCAGTGATTTCGAGAGACATAGACTACAGGCATCGCCAAGAGCCAAGACAAGAGGCAAAAGAACTATGAATAATGCAAATCTGAAGGGCAGTGCCTCTTCTAAACTTTACGAGTTCCAGAGCCCTTTGACCTGCACTGCCGTCAACATAACCGTGCAAATGCTTCCTGTCCGGAAGTTAGTTTGAGGTCTGCAGAATCGGTTCTCGATCCTGCCATGCCGGAACCAACCTTGCCTAGAAACTCGTGGTGTGGAGTGGGTCTTCCAAGCGGAATAGAGATTACCCTGATTCTGGCATACACAGGCAATTACAGTTCGAGGATATCCAGGTTTACGTATTCAAGGGGATAGGCACGTAAGCCTGTCGCGCAGAGGTTCTAGTTCCAAGGGCTTCAGGCTCTTCCGGGTGATGGTGTGACATGCATTCTGATTTTACGATCTGACCAGTTCTCACCTCCTGTCCGTTCTCCACGACACCCCGACTGCAGGCTCGGCTTAAGCGTTGCCCATGCCAAGGTGCTAGGCGCCAGTTAGTTGTTTCCGGTACTCGAACGCAGATATACTTTGCCGCGTAAAACCCTCGCTCTTGCAGGACATGCGAGTGGTGGCGCATAGGCTCATGACGAGACTCGAGGCAGGGGAACAGCTCGAAACTGAGCGTCAGCCTAGCATGGCCAGGACGAAGACGAAAACGCGAAAGCGTCTGCTTAGAGCCTGCAAACGACCAGTATACTTAAAGACTGTGAACCATCGTCCTGAAACCCCAGTTGCCCCAGTTCAATGGACCCGATTTCCGCCCCTTTATGTCCTGTGAGATTCGGTTCCAGGGAATGCTAGTGTCCACTTCGGGCCAATTCCTGGCCCTGCACAGCGTTCGGTTGTTCAGAAAGGGGCCCTCGAAAGGGATCCTCCATGTCTTCCGAGCGTTGCTGTTCAGGTTTCACAACCGTGCGGTTTGAAAATCACCCGCCGATTCCCAAGGGCACGCCTCGAGAACTCCCACGGGAGCATCGTGAACCTCCCTCCGGCCACAAGGCATCCTACCTCCATGGAGTGATTCAAAATGACTGGGAGCTTGTACTGGCAGACGTCTTCGTGTTTAGGTGAGGGAGTCAGCACACAGAGGTTTCAAGCTCGTTGCATGTCACCTTGATCTGCATGCCTTCATGGTTTTAATGTATTGTTTGCCTCCTGATGGCGTGATTGGTTGAAGCTCATGTGGCAATTTGTTTCTACTGTTTTCTTTCCTGGGCTACCGGGCTTGCATGGTAGATGTGACGCACCTGATTGCTGGTTGTGGAGGGTGTATACACGGCTATAGAGACATAAGGAAGAGAGTGGGGGTTTAGTTAGGTCTTCGGTGGGTGCAAGGAGCCGGTCCCCCATTTCGGAAGCAATTTGGATCTCGCGTTATCCTTAATTTACCATCATCAGGATGACTTTTGTGAACGATCTGGCGGACGACAACGGTACCAAGTGTTGCCATGGTCATATACTTATACTCAGCCTTGACAGTGCTCCAAAACAGACAGCATTTATGTCCCGGCATGACTAAGCCTGATGGTTTCAGGCGAAGCCAGAAATCTCTAGAATCCGCCTAGTCTGCTTCAAAACGAGACGGACAACATCACAATCGAAGTCCAAATCCTAAACTCCTCGAGCTCTACTCCCTTCACCATCAAGCATCACGAACCCTGAACATGTCCGCAAGGCTTGCTTTAAACGTCCCACCCACTTCACTTGGCTGAGTCGAGCCGTTTTGCCCCTGCGCCCTAAAACCAGAACCCTCCGACACAGTTCGAGGCTTCCTTTTGGGTCACAAAAGCCCCTGTACTCGATAGTACTATAGTACGCTCATAGATCCCTTACAGTACGTATAGTATCCCTTATAGACCCATTTTAAAGGAGCCCTACTCTACTTATTAAGGCTTCTTGCCGGCTTTCGGTGTTATGGGTCTCCGAGTCTCGGTCTTTGGGGTTTATGTTCAGGGGCGCCGGAGTCTGAGGCTCTCGAAAGACCTGGGATTCCAGAATTGTTGATTTCAGGGGAAGTCTTTTCCGGTATTAATCTGCCTCCAGACCGAAAAAGGATCCGAATTTGAATCCATCGAAGCTCCTAACAAAAAACGAGGCGGCGTGCCAGGGAGATTTCAAGAGACGGAAGCTGACAGGTGGAGAGGACATCGAGCAACCGAGATGCGATAGAGTTTGATTAAGAGGCTTCCAGGCTTGCTGCCTTGCACTCCCCTACGATTCTTTCGCGTTTCTGCTTGAGGTATGGGTGTACATGTCTAGCCAACCAATGGTGTGTGTCAAGGGATGGAAGGGATCACTGACAAGGATGCTTTTCTTTTCTGATGTCCCAAAACGCAGCCCGGAATGGGAGCTTTGAGTTGCAGACCACCAGTCGCAAAGAAGCCAGTCAATCTGCTGTCCGGGCGTTTATGGTACTGCAGTTTCCTCGGCCGCCAACTGTATAGGTGACTGAAGAGTGGCCGGGTTGTATCCGAGGTACATTGATGGCATCATCCGCGAGTGTGTGAAGCGGTCGAGGCTGTGGAAGACAGTTACACAGACAGGCCATGCGTTCGGCCATAAGCCCATACTATTCTGACAACTCTCTCAAAGGGGAAGCGTGAGTCCCGAATTCGTTTTGAAGTTTGGTGTATACAGATTCGAGTTTTGAGAAACCCTACACCCGAACGGCCTTCGTTGACCTCGAATCCCTTCTCGGATCGGTGTAATCTTCGAAAACAGGCCGCTCCTAGATCTGGCGCCGGCGCCACCCCCGGACCTGGATCCACCACCGGCTGAGGTCGAGGAGCCAAGTAGCGCCTGGATGTTAGTAGCCAGTGAAAGCGAACTGTAGCCTTGACTCGACGACTGTTGCAGCTCTTCCTGTCCTGGTATACACTGGTACCAGTAGATACTCAGTATAATCAGGGTATGTATTACACGGCTGTTGCTCAAGTACGTGCTTGCGAGGACCCGCCGCCGCCCCCAGCACGATTACCAAGGCCAGGAGAAAAGCATTGAGGATCGGAGTCCGGAAGCCGAAGAGATTTTGACGGGACATGGCTGAAAGGACATCGAAATCAGATTTGGTGTGCCGATGTACATGTGTATGTACCCGTAGCCAGAGACCTCGTCAGGCATGTCCGAGTTGCGAGAGCATATGTACCCGTAGCCGAGAGGTCACGTCGGTCGCGACCGCGAGCCCGAGACCACACTGCAAGGGAGCAGACACCCGTCGCCCCGCCTGGCGCTCCGCCGCCGCCGCCCACTGGACCTGGGCACCAGGCTCTCGCACAACCAGTTTTCGGGCCCGGTCCTCAGATGTTCCTGTGATGCGTGTGATGTTCAGAGTCTCTTCGTCGGATGGAGATGCAGAGGTGCACGCACCTGGCCAGCTCAGCATCGCCCTGCCTTGGGTTACAGCCGCCTTTCTCAATTCCTGTGACGATGCCGCAGCTGCAGATGCCTGCCGGTTGTCCGACATGGCCTGCCGCTATGTGGACACAGCTGTGCTCCATGCCCATGCCCATGCCATTCGGGCCGCAGCATTTTGCGGCCTGTCCGCTGATGCGATTCAGCTGACGCTCACCAGCATGCCAGACTTTATGGAAATGGCCTAGCTGCCGAGATCGCCGCTCGTGCATGGATTGAGCATTGTTCCAAATCGCCGGTCTTGAAGGCATGCGCGGCTATTGGGCTATGTCTCAGTTTTTCATACAAGCAGTCGTGATTTGGAACAACCCGCCGTGTAACCATTTGTGTACATAGCATGCTTGGGCTGCTTTGCCAAGCAGGGTGGTCTGTGCGGAAATGTTTAACCGCTCCATCTCGGACAAAAATGCAAGAGTCCAAGCAATGCCCTCTTTGCACACTCTTGGGTTACGCGTGCAGCACTATATTTGCACTGATAGCATGTGCAGCACTCACTCCACCCGCACACCCGGCCCGTGTAAGATATCAGGGATCAGGGCATCCGGGCTCCGCGCAGTACCATGGCGACAGGAATGCAGGAAGAGCTCTGGTCAGAGACGTGGAAGAGACAGGCGTGCGACAGCCAAAGTGACGGCAGTTTGTCCTACCGAAGCTGTGCCAGTGCTGCTAGCAGTGAGGTGGAAAGAGGTGCATCGAGTGCAGTATCTGATGGGGAGCAGCGCCCACAGGCTGCACGGGCTGCAGCGGCTGCAGTCATTACACAGCAGGAGTTGCAGGACGTTATCGCAGAGCTCGAGCAGAAGTGGGGCGAGTGCTGTGGCCTGTATGTACATGGTTCCACAATATTTGCTAACCAACTCTGCCCACACGACCTGGACTTGATTGCCGTCATCGATCATGCGAAGCAAGAGGTGCTGCAGGACTCGCCAGACTCGCAGTTCACCCTGGGCCGCTGTGAGGTGTCCGTGTATGAGCGTCGATGCTTCTTTGAGAAGCTGCATGCCATGGACCTGACCATGCTGACCTGTCTTTCCACCCCAAAGCGCTTTGTGCTGAAAGAGCTCCAGGATGAGCGCCTTCGAAACTTCGAGCTGGACCTGCGATTGCTGGAGGAGTCTGTCACATCCTATGCAGAGTATACCTGGCTGAAGGCACAGCGTGTCCTGAACGATTGGAAGGATCCGTACAAGTCCAGCAAGAACGCATACTTCGTCTTTCGTGTGCTGGAGTTCGGCTGCCAGCTTGCGGATCATGGGCGCATTGTTGATCTCAAGGCCGCAAACCATATGTGGGACGTCATCAAGGAGCTCTACCAGGTACTGAACATCCAGCCGCAGGAGGAGGACGTCATCGAGGCCGTCCTGGCCAGGCACTTCAAGGACTCCCTGGCGTGCTTCGAGGCCAAGGTGTCGGCGGCGCGCCAGCGCGAGCGCGGAGAGCGCGGAGGTTCGGAGGCAGAGGCAAAGAAGGCGGAGGAGACCCGGTCCGTGGAGGCGTCCAAGGCACCAAACTGGGACACCTGCGTCATTTGCCTTGAGTCCACCAGCGGGTGTGGAAAGAAAGAGTTGAACCAACTATTGCAATCTCCAAGTGATGCCAACGTGGCAGAAACCTGGGTGCAGCTGGTGAACTGTCGGCACTGTTTCCACACGACCTGCATCGCTGACGCTGTTCGGGCCAGCCTCAAAGCCGACAGAACTCTGCGACACGCCGCCTGCCCCGTCTGCAGGGCCTCTGTGGTCTTCGACTTCCAGGCGAGGTCCACTTTGAGCCGACGGCGGAGGAAGCGACCTATGTCCTTCGCGGGGTACCCGGCCACGATCAGAAATCCGGAAGACCGGCATCGCGATGGTCGTCGTGGCCGTGAGAATCGCGATGACCGCAATGACCGTGGTGATCGTGATCACGATCGGGTGAACACAGCAGCCCGTCCGCTACGGAACCGAGCATATCAAGCTCGGCGGGCATGAGCCGAGGCTTTGCAAGGAGCAGTCAGGATTTTGACCTAGCCGTGGCGAAGAGTATCTCAACGTCCGATTCAGATGCTGGTCAAGTCGTTCGGAGCCCGCCGAATAGCAGACCTAAGTGAAGCGAGCAGACGGGGAATCAATCCCCTCTGAAGAGTGTACAGTGTACAGAGCCGCGATCACAGGGACGGATTTTCCTAGACCAGGTGCCCTTCCAAAGCGAATAAGTAGCTTATTTTGTCAACTGTCGTCCTTGACACATAGGATATCTCCTCGCTGGAAAACCTAGCGAGCCTGTAGACACCTGTGGCCAGTCAGCTCGTAGCCTGTCCTTTGTGGCTTTAACTTGGTTTGCTGTGTTTTGGGATTGAGGGCTGGAGCGAGCTGTCTGGCTTGTCCGAGTTGCGAGAGCGTAAGATGTTCTGAGTCTGCACTTCGAAACCTGGGATCGAAGAGCCCGAACTCATGGGACCCTTCGAGTCTTGTGAGCTTTTCAAGCCCTTCATAGCCCAAAGCTGTAAAGCCACATTCAGCTGAGGTAAACAAATACGTTTGGATTTGGCTCGCTGCTTCTCCGAGGCGTGGCAGGGGCGGCAGTGGCATAGGGCGTATGTTTGCAAGAGCCTTTCCTGCCTCCGCTGCCAGGAACGTCAGAGTCTTGGAGTTACCCTAGGGTTTAGGACAGGTCGAGCCAGGGAGAAACTTTAAACAGGATCTTGGGTTAAGAACTTAAGGGTGTCTAATTGTTCTGAGGGTACGTTGGCAGAACGAAAACCATAATTAGCACAGCCTGTGATGCGGCCGGATTGTATGAGCCTACGAGCTGTTTGCAGGCTCTTGTGAGCATGCCCTTGCGCTCATGACGGTCGCAATCAGAAGCACTTGGGCAAGTCTTGATGAGATGCCTACGAAGGCCCAAATCGATCCCAAATCGTGTGCAACTTACAATCCACCGCAATGTCCCTGAATGACTGAACCCGTGAGTCGATTTTGAGACTCCGGCCCTTGACGACAACTTCAAAGCAGGGTACTATATCTTCCTGCTGTACCTGCCTTCTGACCTTGCAATGCGGGCGAGTCGGTGCTGCAAGGTCCCTCGGCTCAGTTGTGGTGCTGCACGAACAGCGCTTCGGCAGGTGCTCGAGGTGCATGTGCGCAGGCGCGACGGGCACGACTTAGTGTTATATAGCTCCATGACCTCATACAGCACATTCCAGCACGAGCAGAATAAGTCGATAAATGAATAGACAAAATGACTTTAATTCAAAACACAAATATCTGAAATTATAGAACCATAAATGTACAGCTACGATTAAAACAACAGAGTATGTAAAGTACATGTGCATAAGTGTGCATAGATATACACATGGGAGAAGACGTAGGTTAGATTACTCCCGTAAAGCCTCTACCACAACCATGAAGCTTAGCACACGCTAGGTCTCGAGATCTTCGTGGGGAAGCACCGGCGTATTGCGAGTCCCTCAGAGTGTCAGTCTGAGAGCAAGTAAGTAGGGTTCAGAGTACTGGGTTTCGGCCAGGAGCTGCAAGAGCTTGGGACCCTAGGTGGGCACGGCTTCAGAATATCCCACTGAGGCCAAGGCTACCATGAGCTCGCAGCAGTCATGCTGCTGGTATGTCGCACCCTCAGGGTTGCAGCAAAGCCTTCCAAACCCTTGAGCCCTAGCAGCGGCTGCATTTCCACCACCGGAATTTTGCGAGCCTGCTCTCTGATTTTCAGTACGAGCGCAAAACCAGGCATGGACGGTAGCTGGCCGTCCGATGCAGAGGAAGTTGCTGCCGGAGAGCTTAGCTTTCTCGGATCGGGCTCAAGGTTAAGTTTGCTGTAAAATCATGTAAAATCCGGATGCTGATTGTATTGGGTGGCGGAAAAGCATGTCTCCGCAGAGGAGCCTTGCAATTCTGACCAATGAATTTCGAATGCACGAAATAACTCCCTGGATGCTGCGGCTTTGGGTGCGTAAATTTTAGAGCACGATTTTACAGAGATCTTGTGCAAGTTTCCTCGCATGAGCGGACACATGTTTCACATGTTTGTGGACCGTCTTCTCCGTTCACGACCTCCTCACCAAAAGCCTGGAGGCGCAAATGTTGGGAAACCGGGCTCCTGAAATAGTTCCTCAACTCAACCTCAAAGTCAAGCCCTCGCCGCTAACCCGTTGACCCTCAATCCGAAACCCGAAATAAGCCGAAAGCCGTAACGCGCCCAAGAAAAAGGCTCAACATTGTGATGATGATGCGAAGATGCTGATAATAATGATGACACCAAAGACGGCGATTACGAAAATGGTGCTTGTGGTGATGGTGACAATCATGAATATGACGGCTACAACGATTGCGACAACAACAACGACGACGACAGCGATGGCAAGCACGATGATGACACCTGATGATGGTGGCGATCGAATGTCGATCTGCAACAGTTTGCTGCGCAGGGGCCTTTTTCCCCAAGACATACCTCATCCAACTTCCCACAACCTTCAAGATCATCGGCGCCACCAGCGTTTACGCCCACTCTCCTAACACTGCCTTCACTCGGCTTTACAGATTAAGTTCAATTCTTTTTTGGAGAGGTGAGGGGTGAGCTGGTGCCTAAACCAAGGAGAAGCTGACTGCCTCGACCAGAATGGGCGCTGTGGTGGACGCAGGCACGCTGAGAATGCTGGTGAAGTCAGACCCAAAATTAGAAGGAGCCGATTTCGCAGGGACAAAGCTGCTTGGAGTTTGGGGGTTTGCAGGGTCGCGATTGGGCTAGGAGATTGGCGCTCAAGACCTGGATCTCAGTCCTATAGCATCCTATATCCCGAGCATGGTGTGCGGGCCCTGCGGCATTTGCAAATGCAGCTTTGCTGTTCAACACACTCCTAACGTGTGTTCAATACCTTCCAGTTCCACAGAAAGTACATCGGATTTGGGAATTCATGTTACTACCAGCGTATATCCAGTGTATATCCTTTGTATCTGTTCATCCATCCATGCATGCATCCATCCATCAGTCCGGGAGAAGGCAGGCATGTGACCATGCACGTCTGTGCACGTGCTCGATCGATCGCTCGGTTTTTGTTGTCTCTCTCTCTCTCTCTGTACCTATGCGCGCACGATGTGAGCAGGCACATCCAGTCTGTCTCTTGTGCATCTGCGCTGTACAGCTCTTGCTGTTCGCTCTGTACCTTGTGCTTAGGGCTCCGGCATCAGACTTGAAGTGCTCAAAAGGTTTCCCGCTTGGTCGCGCCCCACCCTGACCCCGAACATTAAAGTCAAAGCTGCGACGTTCCCACTCTTTGCACAGACGACATCCCCGTTTACGAAGAGCTCGCAAGCCAAGCAGCCGCCGCAGCTGATACGCTGGCGCCCTCCTCAGCGGGCACACGCAGCATGCATTGGGAATGTAGTTGCCATGCGTGCCCTGGAAGCCCAACGGCCTTAAAGCGTCTAAAGCCGAGCTGCTGCTCAGGCGCTCCTAGAGTCGGTCCTTTACGCCACGCGCTCATCTTCTCATGGTTTATTTGGGGGCTTGAAAGTAAAGTTACACTTAGGGCTTGGAGCGGTGAGGCTTTAGAGGGGTAAGGGTTGAGAGTTTAGCGGCTTAGGTGTTATGTTATGTTGAAGACTTTTCAGGGTTCCATAGTCTGCCCGGTTTTTTTCCGTAGGACTGCACCTGCCCCGCGATCCCCATAAGTCACCGAAGACACCTGTTTGGGTTTGCAGTTTAGTTGCCTACTTGATACACCAAGCAAGCAGCCTGAACCCTAATTGGCTAGTGTGGCAAAAACTTCTTAGTGGCTTAGTGATAGGTGTGTGTGTACAGTTTAGTTGGATACCCCAAGCATTTCGCACATCTCGAAGCATTCCCCGGAAACATACCCCCGATCCCAACATGCCTGCTTGGACGCAAGCTGACTGGAAAGACCCGCCCTATCTATCTATCTATCTACCTATCTACCTATCTGTAGAAGTTCTAGAAACATGTATATTTACAGATATTATAATACTATGTATATATGTATATTTATTTATTTACACATATATATATATATACACATACATGCATAGCAGAGCATTCAGGGCAGCGGGACTTCCCGACACACATAAGCCTTCACGTCAAGGTCGAAATCTTGGCTTTTCGAGAAGATAGAGCATGCCAATTCAGGAATTTCGGCTCTCCGACATGTACGAGCCAAGACATGGCACACCGACAGGCGGCAGCTTAGGGGTTTAGGGTTTAGGGTTTCATACACTCCAAGTCCGTGCTTAAAAAAAAAAGGGTTTAGGGGTTTAGGGGCAGTCATCAAGTCCGGTTTCAAAAGGGGTTTAGGGGTTTAGGGGTGCTTTGAAGAAGCGGGGGAAAGGGGGGCTTTTGCTGTAACCGGGCTGCTGGACAACGAGGCCTGCTGCAAACAAATGGGATTCGGGGTTGGGGATTAGGGGTTTAGGGGTTTAGGGTTTAGAAAACGGTAGAGCTTCGTCTTGAGAAATCAGAGTCTCCCCTTTCGGAAGTGGAGTGGCCACGTGTGTGAACTCATCGTTTGTGGGAACGTGCTGCTGGCTCCTGTAGCTACAACTACTACTGCTACTGGTTCTTATTCTACTAGTAACTAGTACTACAACTACGACGACTACGACTACTGCCACCATTAGGGAGAATACGAACTGCCTATCATTATGCTGGCCTCTCAAAAGACGAACACCCATGTTCAGTTCTATGCGCCAGCCGCTGATTGCGAAGCACCTAACTCACGACGGCCGTATGCCTGGTTCAGGGGTTATCACAGCGGCGACTCCTTGCAGGAAGCACGTGTCGAGCAGGTAGGGTTTAGGGTCAGTCGTATAGGGTTTAACCTAATGATTGGAGCATAATGGAGCCGTGAATACCCGAAACACCTGCAGGTGCATCCGCCGAAGACGAGGAGGAAGCAGTCGTAGCCTGACCCTCGAGACCACGAGGGCTTCATGTACTATCATGAAGTCGGAGTCGCCGGGCAGGA